GACGCGTACTCCACATAACGTATCTTTTAGAGACGTATCGTACATAACGTATTCTTTAGGAGGGAGCCGTCGAAATGTTGCAGAATGGATACGTCGTTGCCTCTTGACGAAAACGGTAATTTATTTTCTCCTCCTGATTGCGAATCCACTCCCAAGAAGCGCAGGCTGGACAAAAGTGAGAGGAAACAGTATGTTTGTCCTGTCTGCGAGAAAGTATATGTAGTGAACTTCTTCTACCAGAAGCACATCGCGAGCCACACGACGACGGTCAATAACGACAAAGCTACAAGTATGTTTATAGTTTCTTTGGCAGAGACTGAATGTGCCATTCCATTGTAAACATTATTTCTGAGAGGATTTTAACCTTCCTGTTTCTGTTGTAGGTTTGAATCAAAGTGTCACTGCTGCTGAAAATGCTGATGTCAGTACAGCAGAGTCTATAAACCTATCAGCAAATGTCACCTTCTCTCTTCTCCAGAGTAACAATAATGCATCAACTTTCAAGAAACCTGCTGTGCCCATTGTGAAGAAATTAGTGAAGCCTAAATTTGTGTGCACATATTGTTTAAAAGGTTACATGTGTAGTAAATACTTCAAAGACCACATTAGAAATCATGTAATTCAAAGTACGTTGCTTGGAAACTTTCTTTGCATGTTTTCTTAAGTTTGTCTCTGCCCACAAATCTATTATCAGTTCATTTAATTTTTATCAGATGGAGCAGCTCGTTTTCCTAATGAGAAAAAAATATTGGATAATGTGTCTGATATAGCAGACACTGCTTTGAACAAAACTGCAAGTGCTCCAGTGGCTGAAATAGCAAGTAAACCTTTCCGGCAGTTAATTGGTGAATTAGCTTCTTTGTCAGCCGGAACAGAGTGGAGTGACTTCACTAACACATTATGCAAGCATTTAGTGCAAAAAAGTCTTAATCAAAAATGTATGTTGCCATCTGCACTCTTAAATTCTTTAATGGAAAGTGCAAATGCAGTGCTTTCAAATAATGAACTGTGTGCAACTCTCCTAGAAATTCTCCCCCTATCTACTGACTTTGAAAATGATTTAAAGGATCAGTTTCTGTTAGAATTTGTGTTGCATTTTGTGTCTGGAATTTTCAGTTTTATTTCTAAAACTTTCCGGGGAGACCAACGACCTAATACGAACAAAACTGTACCTGAAATTGACAATGAAGACAAGGAAGTTATCTTCTATATTGGGGGTTCAATTATTAGAGGGTATCTTCGCATTGCAAAGAGATATAGATCTAGTGCTACATGGGAAGTTATTGAGATAGTTCTCAGAAACAAAGTTCTTTGTGACAAACCCTGTTATGAAAACCATGCTGATTGGACAAGAGCTATTGATAGAGGTGGCTTGTTGTATCCTAATGCTGACTGTCAGAAGTTTTTTGTTGCTTTAACTGAGGTTGTATTTTTGAATGAGAAGAGCGATGGTTCAATCGAATATGACACTGTTATTGATCAGGTAAGCAATTCAAGTATAAGTGTAATGTGGGATGAAATGATTTCTGATGCAGTTCCTGAAAGTGTGTCACTGTGTCTAATGAATGATATTATTAAGTGTTTCTGTAGGACCTGTGGTAGAGGTTTTGCTAAACGGAGACTTAATCTTTTTAGAGATAAGCCAGTGATATCTATGCCCACAAGGCATGCTGTTGCAAGGAGAAAGAAGTAGTTATTGTACACTATAATTGGTAGATTTGTTAGTACTTGATTTACCATGTCACATTTGTAGTCTTTATTTTTGGTTCCTACAAGGTCTAGTCTTGTTCTAGTAAAATGCTCTTCTACTTTGCTTTATTTTGAAAGTGCTACTTATTATTGAGGCAATAAATGTTTAATACTTGTGATTCTTGTTAGTTAGAAAAGAGCAGATACAAGAGATTTTATTTTTAAAATGTGTTTTAGTTGTGTTTATGTTTGAAGCAAGGCTATTTAGTTATGTTAATGTTCAAAAGAAAAATTGTTTCTGAGATCTCAGCACTACTGACTTTTTAATGTCTTTGGTGATATTTAAAAGAAGAAAAGTATGTTTTTGTTTTGATATTCTTAATTTTATTGAAACAGGGATGTTTCTAACTTACATTCCACTCAAAATAAAATAACATTTATCTAAGTACACATGTTTTATTTCACCCAACTTCCTGGAGCAGTCTGTAGAGAGGTATACATTATAAAGATACTAGCAAAATTTGTCCTCATACAATAGCAATGTAAAATAATAAAATACATGAGACATGTGAGTCATACAAAACACAATGAAATTTCTCTGCAAAACCAATAACAAATATTTACAAAACAAACTTTGGTCCATAAGAGCACTTTCTTTTTGGTAGAGGTTCATTAGTGACTTCAATAGTATCCCCAATCTCTCCTGCATTTCCTCTTCTTCTCTTCATGCCTAATTGACCAATGGTGTGAATGGTTCTATTTCTAGCAAGCACTTGATAAGAGTTTGGGTTTGAGCTACCTCCTTGCCCTGCCCTGACCTTACTGAAGTGCTGCTCCAGTGGGTCCTGAGTAAAAACTCGAGCATTTATGAAATCTGCACCTTCTCGCAACAGAAATTTTATCATTAATGGGAACGCTCTGGTAGTCATTTCTATTCCTTCCAGTGTCTGTTTGCTAAGAATGCGTTTGCTTCTTGGAGTTTCTGGCTCATCAATCAATCCACCATCATCAATTTCACTTTCATCTAATTCACCATTATTATTCACACTGTTTGCTACACTATTGCCTGTGATGTTGATACTTTCAGTTTCTCTCTTCCACTCTTCAAGGTATTCTAGAAATTCTTCAAGTTGTTTAAACCGGGGGTCATCTTCTCTCTTGTATGGGTTTAGTCTATCATTTCTCTTCTTTTTCCCCACAGCAGAATGAGCACCGTTCAAACAATCAAACCAATCATTGACTAATCTTATAAATTTGATTGTTTCGGAAGCATCCACCCATTTCTCATCTTCTAATGCTTGAGCAACAGTCCTACTCAGAACTTCAGCAGCATACTTCACTTTCATTCGGCTATAGCTGTCTGGGAATACATTCATTGGATTTAATTTAAATGCCTTCCTTAAACTTTTGTGCTTCTTACTGTTATACAGTTTAACAATAAAGTCCCAAGAAATTTTTTTGTTATTCTTCACCATGCGCCTTCGACTTTTTAATTTATCCCATCTGGAATTTAAAAAGCAATTCCGAACAGTCTTCAACAAATGTGGAACGTCAGCTATGAAATAGAGATTTCTGTGTCGTGCTGCCTTGTTGACGGTATCAAATACAATATTATTCTCATTTGGGGTGACTGGTGTGTGCATTCTTATAAAGGCACGGTTAGTGGAGAAGCCGTCACAAACCATTGCTATCACCCACACACCACTGCTTTCCAAAGCCCTTATGACTTTCCATGTCCAATCATACATCTGGCAAACTGATGGAGAGGCTACAGAATAAGTAGCAACAACCTCTTTAACTCCGTTAGTTACTCCTTTAATCATGTAGACCAAAACCTTACTTGCAATTCTTGGTTGGATTTCTTTTTCAGGATTTTCAAGGTATTCTTCAAACACTTTTACTTCAGAATCAATTGTGTCTAGTGATGTGTAACCAATCATTTTACCAGTGTGTTTTTGAAACACCAAATTTTGTGATATGTGCATTTCATCTGCCATTAGCACATGGTATTTTTGATGTTTTTTTTAAAATTTACTAACTCTCTCCCCTAATGAATCCAGAACATATTGGTCAATTCCTTCCTGGACTGGCTTCACATGAGAATAATCAAAAAGGGTTCTGCCTGATGGTAGCTTTAACATCCCCGTGTCTCTCATTAGTTCATAAGCAGCAGGTGAAGTCAGATGGATCGCAAGTGCAAATCTAATCATTGTTGGGTGCCATCTCATTCCAACCATATTTTTCTTCTGTGAAGCTTTTACTTGCTGTTGAAGGAATACTGACTTTGCCTCAGTCATTTGTCCACTTTCCAATAGTTCAGTAAGATTGTCAGACAAATCATTATCTAAGTTAACACCACTCTTAGTTAACATAAGTTGCATTCTCTCTGTCATGTGAGAAATCTTCCTGTTGGCTGTATTTATAGTATTGGCTTGGTCTGCAAGTTTTGTCAACATTTGTTCTTCTGTGAGGTATTTATTAGCTGTATGCAACTTCGGCCTATCTACAGCAGCAGACAGAGATTTTCGTTTGAGAGGCTTATAAAGCTTGGAACACTCAGTGCAACGCCACTTTCTATGATGAACAAGGCGAAGACAGGAAGGAGATCTGAAAGTTTCTTCATATCGATATTCTCTAAAAGGATTTTTATCAACAAAACCTTGTGAACACTGAGACCAAACACTCTTAAACTTTTCATCATCGTAACCGCTGCAAATTTGCATTGATCTTAAATTGTTTATAACAGTTACCATTCTGTCGACAAACTGGTTGACATTTTTTTCTTCCAAGGGTTCAAAAACATCAAGCCCTTCCATAAACGGATTCACATCTACTTTTTCTCCATGCACAAAAACTTCTACGTTGCCATTACTTTCAAATACTAAACTCCTTTGAATTAGAATATTTTTCCCAGGGCACACAAAGACAACTGTTATTGAATCTTGCTGAACTATAGATATCCAGTTTTGATGCAGAAACCAGTCTACTTTCCCCTTGATGTCCATCAATAAATCTACTGAGACAGATGGCAACACAGATTCAGGTGGCTTCTCTTGAGCTCCATCCTCCATAATAACTTCAGCTTCACTAGCACTAGGTGAGGCAGTGACGTAATCATGGTCAGACTCCTGTTGAAACAAAATAAAAATACATAAGTTACTTGAAAACAACAGAGGGAAAAAACAAACCTGGAAATGGCACGTACAAAGGTTCTGCTTTGGCATCCTAAATTTGAATTTGAAGTACTGGGGGCATCAGAGGACACAAGGGCGCTGGGTTCCTGAAAATTTTGAATAGACCTTAAAATTGCAAACTTAATACTGCGAACAATCGAGTTTGTCACGAAGTAAACAATTACCTCTTGTACAGAATCCGGAGGATCCGTGTTAATGTTTGGACTCAGGGTTGTTCTTTTCTTTTTCACAAAACGCTTCCGTACTGGTTTCCTACTTTTGGGCGGCATCGTGACACCTAATCACTTCAGACAAATAAATGCCGAATCACGTCGAACGATATCACTCCCAGAGGCGTCGACTCCACTCACACCAGGGACGTAAACTGAATAAGAATACATCAAATGGTTCAGCAACGACAAAATGGCAAGTGCTTCGACAGTCAGTTTTGTTTCATTTCACACCTTCAGCCCCAACTCACCTGACTAACAAATAATTTCAATTAAACGACAAGCCTACACAGGTCTAAGGCGCCATGCAACTCCGCTCACACAGACGAAAACAACAACATCTCGCGCAATAATAACAGAGAACAAGAGAGCATCGGGGCCTGCCGAGCCGTGGCGAGCCGAGCGAGTCCGAGCGACCGCCGAGCAGTTGAACGGAGCGCGCCACGCGCCGCGCCGGTGGAGGGGGGTGGCCCGCGGCGGCCGTGCCGTAGCGAGCCCAGCCGCCCGGAGCCGCGCGCTCGGCCGGCGGTCCCCGCGCGCGGCTTGCGCCACTTCGGCGGGCTTGCTGCGCCCGCGGGTGAACCGGACCTCAACAAGCTGCACATCGTTAGTTAGCTTAAACATTCAGGATTACGATGGAGCTTTGATCGCCTCGAAATTCCTTCCCGATCAGCCGCAAAGTGTCGCAGGAGAAGCCGAGGCGCTCTCAGAGGCCATTTAGCTTCGACTCCAGGGCGCCCTTCTCTCATGATTAAATCAATGCACAACTGCATATTAGTCTAAGGAAAACCCATACACTGAACAACAGATTTTGCGTATGAGAATTTGAGGTCAATTTTTCATTGATTAGAGAGTTGAACCCTATCGATTCATCCTTCATGTGTCATTGGGGAGGGCTTGTAAAGTTTTTTATGAGAAATTTTCTATTCACATCACATCATAGGATGAAACCAAATTCTTATTCAAATTGCAAATTGCACTGTTGTTATCTTTTTGTTTTTCAAACAAACTAGTTGAAAGGATTTAGTCCGTCTCACATTAATTAAGATCTATTACTTACAAAAATTTTTCGGGTTTATCACTAAATATTCTTGCATTTTACTTTAAGATTTGTTGTGTTAGTATCTTTAGGGAAAACTCAGCTTACTAATGTGTACATTTTAGGGTTATGTTGTCCTTGTCTTGTCGTAGTCTTTACAGTAAATTTACACTTTCATAAGCTGGAAATAAGAAAATTGGGTTTAAGGAAGTTTAATTTCAAGTTCTTAAGCTGATGTATTACAGTGTCTCAATGTATCTTGAAGATTACCTGTTTCATCTTCAGAAATTAAACAGCACTTCTTCTTGCCAACTCCAATTTAGTGTTTCTTTTCTTTCATAGTATTTATCACAACTCATCAAATTCTTCATAGTGTAGTATTATGGTAACATTAACCTAACCAGGTTACAGCAGAATACCCTCAGTCACGGCCACTAGTGATCACTATGGATGCGACACCTACACTGAAACCCCTGAACCATTTAATTGTTTTAAGATCGCCTTGTTCTTCTTGTTGTTATGCCAAACACTGAATAAATAGAGGCGCGAGCCTTCGACTCGTCGCCATTTACCACTCATGAGTTCTAGCGTTCACATGATCTTGGCTCTCCCAAAACCCCCAATACTACATTGGTGGCAGCGGTAAAGGACGGAGGAAGAGGTTAGAACTTGCGAGACCTACTAAGTGTCACACGCTAAGTTTAGATAGGGACCTGGCGAGACCTACTCAGTGTCATACGCTCAGGATTAGGGAGGTTAGGACCCGGCGAGACCTATTAAGTGTCATACGCTCGGGATAGTTGGTTAGGGACCTCGTTGAGACCTATTAAGTGTCATACAATCGAGGAGCCGAAGCAGGCCCAAGGCCGCCTAGGTCAGATAGTCTAAACGTTTCTGTTGTCTGAGACCTACGAGCGTCATACAGTGCACCAGTACGTTTTGAGGTTATAGTTCAGTCGTAGTAGGGAAGTCCGAGAGGAGTCCTGAAAAGTTAAGGGGTCCGAAAGGAAGGCATGCAGAGACAAGTTGCTCGACACGCGCACCTACCGGAAATCCAAAACCTGACCATAAAGGTCGAGAAGGAGAACCTAGATCCTGAATGGAACAGCAGAACGTCGCCATGGACGCAATGGCGCTCCACGCGGACACCGACACAGACCTCTCAATCGGCGAGTCCGACGCTGAGCAGCAGGGCGCTGAAGCCGTACAACCCGAGGTTGTCAACATGGTCGACGTCGCCGGCGCGCCCAACATGTTCATGGCACAGGAGTATGGACGAGGAAGAGGAAGAGGTGGACGTCGAGGCCGTGGACGAGGACGAGGACGTGGCCGTGGACGAGGCCGCGGGCGATACAGACGAGTTATGGAATTCGTTATCGAGGAAGGTGAAGGTCCTCTACGTGCACAACAACAGCGACGAGGAGATCGAAAACGACGACCACCCAGACGTTTTCGTGAAGAGGGACAGGAGAGAGAAGCACTTCAAGGTGCGGGGCCAGCGCCGCAAGGCCAGCAAGAAGTAGACCAAGAACAGCAGCAGGGCGCCGAAGTGCGTCAAGGCGCCGCCGCGCACCAGGGACAACAAGTCCAAGAGGAAGACTTTGACGATGAATATGAGCAGGACGAACTCCAGGGCCCAGACCGAGAGTACGGGAGACCTCGCCGCCGGTGGGCACCGTACAACACCATGGCCCGAGACACGCTCGAGCAGGACGGAGGAGATACTGGGCCGGAGCTCGCGGACAGTACGATGATGCCGAGGAAGACGCTGATGATGAGCAAGAACACGAGCAGGCACAGGTGCCGCCTCAAGACCAGCTGTTTGCAAGGTTCCTGGAGGCAATGGCCAGGACGGTGGGCAACAACAAGCCCAAGAAGTACAATGAAGCGCCCAAGTACGACGGCGAGACAGACTATACCATTTATCAAATCCAGTTTGATACGGTCGCGGAGGCCAACGGCTGGAACATCCAGGACCGCAAGACGGCCCTGATCCAGGCCCTGACGGGGAATGCCACCGACGTAATTGCAAACCTCAAGCACCAGGAGGTGCCAATCACCTACGAGAGCCTGGACGAGGCTCTGATCAGAACATTTGGCAGGTCCGCCTCCATGTGGGAGCGTAAAAAGGATCTCAACACTCTCACACAAGAGAAGGACCAGACGGACAGGCAGTTCTCACGGCAGGTGGAGCGGTTGGGGAGGGCATACCTCCGCAACATGAAGGAGCAAGACGTCCAGGAGGCCCTGGTGGAAAGGTTCATCAAGGGCTTGGCAGACAAGAAGGCCGCATCCCGTCTGGCATTCGCAGCCCTGCCCAACCTGGACGAGGCCCTGAAGACCCTCAATAGGGGTCTGAGCCTCCAGTTGGAAGAACCTCCGGCCAAGAGGGTCCGGCTCACCAAGACGGAAGATAAGGAGGAAGGGGAGATCGAGGAGAAGGACGAGGGTAAAGAAGAAAAGACCTACAAGGTCAACATGGTTTTCCCCTCCAGCTCAGCTTCCAAGTCCAAAGCGGACGCTCAAACCCAGCATGGCCGAGGCCGAGGCCGCGGAAGCAGAGGGCCGAGAGGAGGAGGTGGTAGAGGCTCAGGAAGAGGGGGAAGAGGTGGCTGGTCAGGCTCTGACAAAGACATGATTTGCCACGTGTGCAACAGGAAGGGACACAGAGCCGCTAACTGTTGGCACAAAGGCAGGACCTCCATAGAAGACATGGTCTGCCACACCTGTGGCAGAAAGGGTCATATGGCAAGGAACTGCCGGAGTGGCGCAGGCAGTAGCAAGGGAAGCTCCGGAAGCTCAGGCTTCGCCATGCCCAATGTACCACCTGACCTCTACAAGGCCACCATGCAGTGGTTCTTGAGCCAACAAAACGAACCACAACCCTCTACCAGCAAAGGGAAAAGTCCCTATGTCCCCAAGGACAAAGAAAAGGACTCGGAAAACTAGAGTCAACTTCCATCAAAACGGTGGGGATGGAGGTTGAGGAGAAGACTGATAAAGTTTATGTAAAACCACCGGTGACCAAAACTCCAGATTTTGTTAATTTAACAGAGCTTTCTGACTCTGAAATTGAGCTTGATGGTCACCGGGAGGTTCCTTGTAATATTTGTAATACTAGCAGTGTTAACTCACTCAGCACCTATAATCCAATGTACAATTCTGAATAAAGTACAAAGAGTTTGTTTAGATACTGCAGCTGTTATTACAGTAATCCCTAGAACAAGAGACCTCCCAGT